CACACACACACACACACACACACACACACACACACACACACACACATGCAGTGCTATCAGTGTCCCAGTGAAGGCTTAAACTGCTTGGTGGGGATTTTTTTTTTCAGTTTATCGGTTTTCTCATCACAAAGAGACACACACAAATCATATGCCAGCGTATCAAGAGATTATAATAAGCAGTAGGGTTTATTAGTGGCTTCCGCTTCCATCTGTTCAGGTTGTTGTTTCATCACAGTACCTGATCTGTCTTGCTAATTTGCCTTCACTGACCTTGTGTGGCCTCCAGTCAATACAGCATAGGAATATTGATCACCTTGTGCTGTATCCCACACATCCAACACTGTTGCATTTTCATGGAATATGGTTTGGTGGCATATTTCTTTGAAACAGTTTAAGCAGGCAGGGAAATCAATCAATCAAGCAAAGAAACGTGGTTGAACTTTTTTTTTTTTCCTTTTTTTTTCTTAGTAACTATTTTGCTTTTACTTTAAGACATTAGACTTTTACTGTTTTTGACTTTTCTGGCTACTTTTAATCACTCTTTTCTTTCTACCTGTCCTTCTCATTTGCTCGCTTTGTTACTTTTAACACTGCTTTTGTTCTTTTTATATTTCCTGGAAGTCTTATTTCTCCCTGTTTTGCTTTTGTTCTCACTCTCCTACTCTAAATGAATACAGTTTACAGTGTTATTCATGACTGGTATTTGCAGGCTTGTCTCACATTAATTGTGTTTGCTCATTCATTTTATGCTCTATATGTGTCTGTGACATTGTGGGTGCTCTCTCAAGCGAGGGCAATATCAGGTCATAGCAACTGAAGGCACAGAGTAAAAGATGGGCTTTTTTTATGATCCAGTGTTTTTCAGCATTTGAGCTTTGCTAGCAGCCATTGTCTCCAGACTTCATTATGGTTAGCTGTGTTCGTACTGGCTGCCAGAGCAGGGATTAGCCCTAGTGCTGTGATAGCTGGAAGCAGAAGAGAAGATATTGTTAGGTTAGCACTGGTAACCCAATCAGCGTGAGCCAAGATAGCTATAGGATAGATAGCAGGAGATGCTTCATGCACATATGGATAAGACTGTTGAACCCTTTTAATTTCGATTTTTCATTTCATTTTACCGGTTAAAGCCATATTCACTCAGAATAGAATTTTTAATTAAGTGCTAATTATAAATACTGATATTCCATATTAAACTTGACTTAGTATAATGTGCCAAGCGTGAGCTAAAATGCCCTTGGTTCCCCATGTTTTCCTCACCATATGCTAATGCCCTCCATGACCCACCTTGGCCACGTCATTAGTCAGCTGGCCCCATTAGGATTCATAGAGCATCCCTGTATGCGCGTTCATCACAATGTTGCCTTGCCAACTGCCAGGTGAAGGAAATTGATTTCTCTGAGCAATGTGAAGGTAAAAAAACATACTAATTCACCACAGAGAGATGAGCTTAATATCCTATAATATTTTATTTCTAAAGACCCTGAGATCCACCTCCCTCTCCTCCATCACTTAGGTCAAAACAGAATCCTTGTGTTGTAAGATGTTATTGTGAAACATTACATTCTCCTATTTTGGATTTTGAATTACTTGTTGTTCATTAAATTGCTTTGGTTTTAAAATCAAATTAGAGCTATACCAGGAATTATGCACTGTATTTATAGCATATAACATACTGAAAATAGTTTGCCTTTAAATGCACATATCTCTCTATATGATCGAAATAAATCCCTACTAACATTTAATGTGGTCATGAACGACTATGCCATCATCTGAGTCATACTTTATTAAAATTTCATCTC